AAGTACACGTTGCACAACCGAAAACGCACCGAATGCAGTTGAAGAATACCGTAAGCAAAAGATTCAGCTGAGACTCCCGTTAAGTACACTTCACCAACGACGCACAATTCGAGTGGAACATAAGTTTGATGGAAACCTGAAAGACTACACCTGCCTCAAGAATGGAAAATCGGTAACGGGGTGTCGAATAGTTTTCCGAAACCTTGTGAGTAGTGCATGCCAAAAAAAATAGATAAAATAACGCGACTCGAGCACGGGGCTGAGGACACCCGGAATCCCAACAGGACTACAAAAAACCGCATTTGCTAGGAAGCTCGTTAAAGGGAATGGCAAACTACGCCTGCATGTAAAAGCCTAACTAAAATATCACGCGGAAGTGAATGGTGACCGGGGCGGACGTACAATTTCCTTCGGCTCCTCTGCTCCTTCGGTTTTCCCCTTCAGTTTTTCCCTCAGAGCCTGCATGGCCTCCATATCGCTCTTGTTTGGACACTTGTGTGAGAAATGACTGCCTTTACAGTAACGACAACGTGCAGTTTGAACGGTGGGTTTGGCTTTCAACGATTCCTCTTCTTGCCGGTCCTGTTCTTGTTCAGGCTGATTGGAAAACAGTGGGATATGTGGAAATCGAAAGACACCAGAGTGAGGAAACAAGCCGCAAAAAGTAAGAAACTAGTGGATACGTGTGATATCACGACAGAATAGCGATTTAGCCACACAGTATGCACTCCAACAAACACCTCACCCTATATCCGAATAAGAAAAGCAAAATGAAACGGGTTTTCACCAGTAAAGCCGACAACTACACGAAGAGGCAACCGTTCGATTCAAATCTACTACAAATTGTTATGATTTTCGTTAGGAATCCAGGAAGTTTCAAAACATGTCTGGCGGACTTTCTGTCATTCATCATAAATCTTAGAATTCAATAGTACAACAAGCATCAGCCCAAAAGAACGGGATAGTGCTCCTGCTATCTTGGGCAACAAAAGCGACGATTTGCTGATGATGATGAGTACACAGACAATAAACGTGGGAAGACCGGCAACACACGTTTGTGTGCAAAAACGTGAAAGCTTGTAGTCAAATTGAGGTGTCCATAAGGATACACAGTGCCTTCAAGTAGCTCGGGTTAAGTAGAACGGTGCATGTTGTCGGTTCTAAAGGCGCCCAACAACCTGACTTTTGTATCAACAAACTCAATGCCCCAAGTTCCAATCCATCTCTTGAAGTCCCAGGCTAACATGGACCTCTCCAAATTACTTAGATAACGGAAACCCAACATGTGTTCAAGCAGTATTAAAAGGCTGTCTACAGAATGCACATCCACATATTTTTAACATAGAGGAGTGGATCAAGAGCAGTGGATTCTGATGAACTGTTGGTGTGTGAAAACACA